GGAAGAGAACGAATCTGCTAAGGAGAAGTGGAGCCGGAATCCTTTCTCGCGATTCGACGAAGAACTTGGAACTTATCTCAAGTTCGTTCTTCGCAGCTTTTTATTCCCCGAAGTTTGTTTCTCCAATCCATTAATTTATGTTCCGCATCTGTTTGATCGAATTATTGATTGGAACTAAATATATTTGAAGCTTGTTGGATTATCAAATCATGTGATCGGTAGGTATTATGAGGTCTGCGTGCCATTTGTCTGTTTGTTGTTAGGTTTCTTTCAGGAAATACATCTCAATACCTTCAGACCGAATCTAGAAATTTCGAGTTATCGATGATCCACGTGATTTTGTGATGTCTAGCCATGTTGAGCTTTGACCTTAAACTTGCGAAGTGTTAGTGATCGTTGTTTGAAAGCCTGAAAGTCAGTTCGATCTGTGATTTTGTCTGCTGTAAACTCGGGAGAGCATGAATTCGCCAGTTTGTTTGGTCTCCGCTTGAATCTGAACCCTAGCCCTGGGGCATGCCACTAGTTGAGTTGCAAATTCGGTGAATGCTTAAAAACTGATTTTTCGCTAGAATAACTCAGAAACCAGATAGTTCGATAAATTATCCTAGTTTCTTACATGGCTAATACATATATTAAAGCTGCTTTATATCGCCTGTTCTTTCTCTTCGTATTTGGAGCAGGACCACGCCCGTATCATACACTAACTCTGGTTGGTTTCTCTACGATGTCAACGGTGACACTTTTACGTTCTGGGTTCGCTTGTGATGATCTTCTTTAGCTCGTTAAATACGAATAGTGTTTCTCCATCAAAACCACTGGCAAACTGAACTGAATTGGAGTTAAAAAAGATCCAAAGTTTTCACCAAAGATTATGAAGAGTGGTATAGTGTGTATACCTGGTGTACTGTGTAAGCAAATCGGACCCCTTGGAGCATTAGATTTCCTTCTCTAGCACTTTCATTTGATTCCAGCTCTTTGGTGATTCGCTTCATATATTCCTGGGCTAGCCTCAGTGAGCTGTATTTTAGCTGCAGCATCGCAAGAGGATCCCTCAGGTCCTTTTCGGATAGGAGTTGTGGAGTGAAGCTAAGCTATGGGTTGGTAAAAATGGTTGATTCTTTTCATAGTCAATAGTGTTATTGTATTCCTATTGTTTCTGTAGATCAGCTGTAGTTCACCTACCTGTCCAATCAATCCCGTATCGAGCATCCATTCGCAAGGTATCTGAAAATCCCTGTATCTCTTACCTGTACCCTCTTTCATCCTCTCTGTGCTGCTAACAGATTCTTCCAATCTGAAAAATCAACGATTTAATGCAATTAACTCATGTTATTGGATAAAGTTGGGAAGTAAATAGTAACTTGTTTAATACATGCTCGCCTGTCTTGCAACGATTGAATTCTTTGTAAGGCCTGTGTCAGATGCTCCTTTGGATTATCCTTGAATGAGAGGATTTCAGATTCAAGGTTCCTTAGGCCTCGGTACTTGAAAGCTGCTTCTCTAAGTGCATCTGCTTTGCGCTCTGGCCATTTCGGGAAATTCTTTAAGACTGCCCTTTCATCAACCAAAGAAGATAGTTCCTCATCTAACCATTTCACAAACGTCTCCACTTCTGATATGTCTGTATATGTTGTGGTCTCCACCTTACTGATTAAGAATTGGATGTGCTCTTTGTGTCTTTCTATGTCAGATTTGATCTGCAAGGCAATACATTGCACTGTAAGGAGGGTTTATCTGACAGAGGCTATATATATATATATATGCCAGGTAATATATTCTTATGTATGATCATGGAGACGGAGTTTTTTTCCCTTCTAATTTATGAGATCATTGCTAAATGCATTTTCACATGTATCATATAAATTTCAAACCTTAGGTCTGCAGCTTTGAGAAATTATTTGCAGCCAATGAGAGTCAAAATCTTAAACCAAATGCTTTCTAGAAAGGTCAAGGCAGTTTGTCGCTAAAGCAGTGCTTATAGATTAAGAGGGACAAATTAGCTTTGGGTACTTACAGCTGAAAGATATTTGGAGCGATTCTCAATTTCACCAATCATATTTCTGCTGAATGCAGGTGACAGTTTCCCTTTCTGGCTCATCCTATTCTCCATATGAGACTCCCTTCTTGTGAGCGCACGGTACAACTCAACAACCTCAGGAGCACGCCGCACAGATCTTTTTCCGAGTGTTGTTTTTGATGGCAATGGTGGAGGTGGTGGTGGTTTTATTACAGGAGATGATTCTTGGATGCTTGTCTTAGGACTCGGGTTCTTTGCCTCTTGACCCTTTTCATTGAGCTTGACGTTTTCAAGCGCTTTCAGGTTAGATCCATCTGTGTTGCCGCAATCATATGAACTCTGCAACTTCTTCCATAACATGGATTTTCTCTCATTGTCATGTGCTTTCAGATGAGTTACTTGCCCTCTCAGACGTGCAACCTCTTGTTTTAATTCTTGATTTTCCTTCTCCAGCAGATCGATCCTTACGAGGGAACCTTGAAACTCCTTCACCATACGCATGAGATCTGAGTCATCATCATGATTTGGTAACATCTTTATTCCCTCCTCCTTCATCGAGTAAGCAGCAAGAGGAATTGGGTGAGATTTGCTTGTGTGATCCTTGTCCTTTTTATCCATGTGTTTACTTCTCAAGCAAGCAATACTCACCTAAACCTATGATGTCCACTACTGTGTTGGCTAATTGCAAATGTGACCATGGGGGTAGGTCTTGCAGAACAGTAGAGCTCTTGTTCTAAGCCTTTTTCATGTGTAGCTCTTTCTTTCTGGTGGTGGGTATACTATAAATACACGGTGTCTGCATCAAACGATCAAACAAAACTGAACTATAACTGTTCACAACAAATGGCCATGGCCCTAATGAATGGTGTTCATTCTGTTACAAGGAATGGATATATCTTCGAATTGTTAGATATGTAATTAAATTGCCATCCCTTCTGTCATGGTCTGCTGTTTTTGTTGCAGTTTAGATGGAAGATTCTCCGGATCAGCAAACGAACGGTGGCTACGCCATTATAGAATCGTCTTGAGGAAAACGAGGTAGGTACACCATTAAAGCTCTCTACTGAAAGAAGGTGATTGGTTAGTATACAAATTATCATATGATTTATTTATGGTCTTAAATTCTTAGATCTAAAATCTTACCACCCAATTCAACATAAATAATTATTGGAAACCCAATCTGTAGAAAATACAACACTGCGTATGCATTGGTAACACTATTGTTTGTGAAAACTGAGATCCTACTGTAGAGAGTGTGCCCGGTATCTATGTTTCATCTTTCGTCGTAGAGTGAAGCGTTAGGTGCGTTCTTCGAATTCCAACTATCAGTCCTATTTTTTTCTTACCAGCAAAAATTCTTCCAGTTAAAATGAGCCACCAAATAAAATATCTGCAACTTTTTTTGTTACCAAAAGGAACCACCTTTTAAATTTAAAGAATTATGTTAGTGGGTGGATTTCCGCAGAGTTATTTGTAGAACCACCGGGAATTTGATTACTTTACAAAACTGTTTTCTAGTCTCTCTCTCTCTATATATATATATATATAGACACACGCACACGCACACAAACTAGTAGGCTTTGTTGTTTCTTTGTTGTGTATTGGTTTACCATTCTCTGAAGCAAGATAAGAATATAAGGTGATGGTGAAAAGTAAAAGAAAAAAGACAAGGACCTGAAAGTCACTTCCTACCAACACCTTTCTTCTCACATTCGTGATTTTTGCATCTCTACTCCATCCAGATTACACAAAAGCTAAATGATTTTTGGCGTTTTTATTTCAAATCTTGCTTCTTCTTTTTTACTTTTCTAGAAACTAGAGGGGGTATTATGTTCTTGTCCTGATAATCATCCCCTGCCTCACACTCATCTTAGTAAACAGTTGTTAAAGCTCTTTCATGATTGACATGCAATGGTCCTCGGGGTGGTGTTTATGGTGGTAATCTGAATCATGCAGTCATTCAAAGGTGTCATCGATTGAATTTAACATAAGATTTATGCTCAAGAAATTAGCTTTTTTATTTTCTTATCAAACATTATGCTTCTCAACAATTAGACCACCTAAGAAAGTTATGGTCCGACCTAAACGAGAACAGGTTCTGGTCAGAGTGAGCCATTGATCTCAAGTAGGGACACTCCGTTTTAGTTGTTATATAAATTGCACAACGTTTAATATAGAAGGAAGTTGTGGAATCAAAGAATAAAACTTTTCAACACAATTCCAAAGGGGGTTCCAAAGGGGGTTAAACGTTACTAAAATAAGTCGTTAGTTTTAAAAAAAATTGCAGTGCACTGATTTTTTTTTCTTACAAAATTAAATATTTCACAAATTTTCCATCTTTTTTGCTTTTAAATCCTGTACTTCCAACATTTCAATTTTCAGTTACGCCAAAGAAAAAACCAAAAATTGTTTGTAAGCAACCGATCCAGCTTCTAAAAATTGTGTTGTTTCGAAGAGTGAAAAAACAATATTTCAAATGACTAAATGCAAAATTCTGCGCAATTCCCTAGGGGCACATACAACCAAATTTCAAGTGCTAGTTCAATCAGCGAATACTTGACTATTGGTGAGATAAATATGGATCAATCAACAGCGTTCCAAATTCGGATTTCTAGACACGTGTATCCACAAATAACAAGACAAGACCGCGAAGCCAAGCGGCAAGATCCGAAAGGGTCAGACCGCAAGATCTCTTTGCATCGCCATTCGTTTCGCCTCACCGCCCCTTGGCCCACATCAGCCATCACTGGCCCCGCTTTTTTGGGCACATCATCCTTCTACCTTCGTCTTTTTCCTCCTCACCTCATCTCCTTTCTCACGATCGCCCCCTCGTTGATCGAACAATTCTCAAACTCCCCAACTCTCACCCACACCCCACAGAAACCGACGTCACAAGGCCAAGATCAGAAAGGCCAAGGTCAGATAATCCGAATGAGGGACTCCCAAGTTCAAATACACCAAATAATTCAAAATATGGACGACTGCCCATCGCTACTACTTGCATAGCTTACATGACCAATGCTGAACGAGGGATTTACTTCTGCCTCCGAAATTTTATATATATATATATATATATACACACTCCAATATAAACAGTTTAGTTTGATTGGCATTTGCAAAATGTAAATGCAAAGGTAACAACCAAAACTCTTAAACACTTGGAGATGATGACACCATTCGTATATTACTTAATATAGAATAAAATGGACTCTCCTCAAAATGCGACCAGAACCCCATCCAAAGAAATCACAGTAAAATCTTGCACTGCCATGCAACCAGAAAACAGACTGAAAACAACTATCCCCAAAACCAAACCCAATCACTTAAATTCTGATATGCAAACACAAACTAACACTTTTTTGACTTACGACAAATGGACTCAAAACGACTCGGCAGAACACCGACCCTGTCAATATGACATAGACCGACACCATGACACTGATTAAACACGAGAGGGATCCTGAAACAACTACAAAATATAGAATACCTCACCGTGTATGTATCCAGCCACGCACACAAGCTGGTTTGGCAGAAGAACAGCAAACACATCTAAGCCGAGGACCCAGACTCTTCGGTTTTCTTTTGTTCACTTGCTTCCTCTGGCTCGCTCTTCTTCTCATCTTCCTTTGTTGATGGTGGTGCTTCCTCCACAGATTTCTCCTCGGTTTTCTTCTCTTCAACTGTCAACTTCTCGAGAAGACCAGCTGCTTCTGATGCATCTTTGCTCTCTTCTTCCTTTTCTTCAGATTCGGCAACTTCCTTGAACTTTTGCATAAATGTTTTGCAATCTGACAAGTTAAATAAGAACAATTATCTATCTACATGAGAAAATTTAGTGCTTTGAGAGGATGGACAATGTAAAAATCTGAAGAAAGTATAAGCCAGGAAAGTGCTAACAGGAGACAAGTCAGGACCATATTAACATAGGAATACACTTCATGTCATAAGCGAGTTCCTATACTAAAATAGGAAGAGGTCATATTGTGTGCAAATGGAAGCAACAAGCAATTAACAGCTCAAAACAATCAAGAAAATAACCCTAGAGAACCTAAAGAACAAGTATTCAGTGAACATCTAAAATTCTCTCGAGGTCCTCCAGTGATTTTTGGCCATAAACCCTAGAAGCTCCTGATGAGAATGAACACAAGTGATGTAAATGCTATATGTGTGGCAAAACCGATCAAGCAAGTAATCTGGAGGTTAAGGCCAAAATAAAGGTCTGGAGATATACACTGAATCAAAAATCATCTAACCACGAGAATAAATACGCCAGACATATGCAAGCAAGTGGTAGAACAGTCCAGGGATAAGGTAATAAGATCGATGCAAAAACATATAATCCATATTCACACTCACTTTCAACTGATGCGAACCGGATGCAGAAGAGCTCATCCTTCAATTCCCCGTCGGAGAAGTCAGAGGCATGCCATACGCAGGACTTCTCATTTCCAACGTGTTCCTGAACAGTCATGCCAGACAAAACTGCAGAAGTTCCGAAGATAACAGAATTAAAGATTAACGGAACACGAATCCATAAAAATAAAGTCAAAAGATGATAAAACGAAGAAACTCACTGAGATGATTGGCACAGATCTTCAGAGTCTTAGATTGCCTCATAACGAGACGAATCTTGCCGGTCTCCTTGTGTTTCAGAAACTTAACAGTACCCGCACCTCTCTCCTTCCACTGATTCCCATCCTTATCGAACCGATACATCTTCGATTTCCTACGATCCACAAAATCCAATCAAAATCTCAAAACCATCGCAAACTAAAACCCTAGAAATCCAGTAAACAACTACAGCAACGATCAGATCCAGTAAACCTAATCAGAGATCACAAGTACCAGAAACTCAAACAAAGAAATATACATACAGATCGAGGATGGCGTCTTCGTCTTCCTCACCAGTGGTGACGGCGACCTCCTCGAGCCTGACTATCGGAGCGACCTGAGCTCCAGTGTCCTCGTCCTCGTTGGCTACTGTCTCTTCCTCCTCTCTGTTCTCGTGCTGCGGTTCGTTGGTCGCCATCGTATCAAACCTCCGCAACAACACCGCTCACTCGCTCGATAACCTGTGCGGCGTACGTGGACAGAGACAGAGAGAGACGGAGCGAATTTTTGGGGTTTTGTGGCAACGGGGAAATAAAGGAGGTTTTTATAGGAAACTCTGGTCCTGAAGGGAAATGGAGCATTTCGGCCATCTCCCCCCCCCCCCCCAAGGCCACACGG